TCTCAACATCTTGCCTCCATCTGGACAAGTACACCCACACATGTATAACTCTCTCTCTCTCTCTCTCTCTCTCTCTCTCTCTCTCTATATATATATATATATATATATATATATATATATGCATTAAAACAGACACTTTGTTATTATGATATATTAGAGAAATTCCAAAAAATTGTTAAGCTAAACTACAAAGTGATGTAAATGGTATTAGTGACTGAGAGGGTACATTAGTCTATATATGATGTGGTTATAATATTTTATATCAGCGGGGAGAGAGCTAGAGTCAGGGAGCACTTAAACACTCCTTCAAAAACAGGAACTGGGATCTGTGCTTTGACAAGCTTGGATATGACTGCCATGTAGTTTCAGAGCCTTTATTTTTAATGATTGAAGTTGCTAGAGGTTTCTACAAAAGACAAATTCAATCTGCAGTTGAACTTCTGTAGCTACAGAATGATGCTGACCATGCTGTTAAATGGAAAACAGAGAAGCAGAAAGCGAAGGTAGGGCAGACAGAAGCACTGGCAAACAGAGCAGACAGCTAGCGGCTCAGAAGAAAGCTGAAAGTCAGCACACAGTGAAAAAGAATAGCAAGTCAGATGCAGAGAAGACACTACCACAAAAGGCAAGCCAGGGAGTGGCTAAAGAAAACAGGGACCTTACAACATTCTAACACATTCCAGCATGCTCTTCTGACAAAAACAAACAACCAAACAAACAACAACAACAACAACAACAAAAACCCAGCACCACCAGCACAACTAAACAAGACAAGAAATGGATCTCAAAGGTCCAAACATAAGGAAATGAGACTTGAATGGTAGTTACCTAGTTTAATGAATACATATAATACACATATACTGAAATATCACACTTCACTCTAGTGTGCTTGGTTTTATTAAAAAGAAAAATGGAATTTAAAACATAAAACAAACCACCAATACCAATAACAAAAACAAAAACAGAAAGAAGGTAGAAGTGATAAGAAACCTTTCCAGACACAAAAAGTTCAGAGAGAAAAATTCATTACACCATTACAGCTGAGAGACTCCCTGACGAGGAAAAATCAACAGGTAGAAGGGCATGGCTGGACATGCCTATGGCCCCAGCACTCTGGAGGCTGAGGTAGGATTCCCATGAGTTCAAGAGCAGCCTAGGCTCCAGTATGAGACCTGATCTCAGAAAATTAAAACAACACAAAATATCTAAAGTCAAACAGAGTATGAGACAAATGAGAGGTATTTTAAAATTGTAAGTTAGAGAGAATGACATCATCCATCCATCCATCCATCCATCTATCATCTATCTATGTATCTATCTATCCATCCATCTATCCATCCATCCATCCATCCATCCATCCATCCATCCATCATCCTTCCCTTCATTAACTTGGTCATACCAGCTAACTCTCCCAGTGCTCTGCATTCTCTTGTGTGGCCACAGCTTCCTTGGCTTTTCTTTGCAGTCATTTCCTGGCTGTGCGCCCCGCTTCATACGTCCAAAACTAGTCTCTTAAAACGCACTCCATGTTCTCCATGCTCACAGTTACTCTAATTCATTTGAAGGTGGGCCTAATTAGAAGTGTGTAAAGCATCTACCTCCTTTTATTCTTTTGGACTGCTGAGCCCCGCTGGGGATGCTGACTGTCCCTATGACCCATCGTAGCTGTCCCAGGTCTCATCCTGTCAGCCACCTTCACTTTGCCTATCAAACACCTAGCCCTATTCTTCCATAGCTTTCCCCCCATTTCCTGTTTCTGTACCTACAAACGTCTATTACGACAGCAGCCTGGGGCTTCCTTCTCACCCTGACTTCCACAGTTTTCCTATTTAGGGCCCTTGTTTACTCCGTTCTTCAATAAACATCCATTTGAAGACTTACTCTGCATTAGGGCCCCTTCTAGATGCTGTATTTAAAATGGAAATCAAGACTGAGGAAGTGAGTATAGTGGGTACTTAAGCAACAGAAAGAAACAAATGCACAAGGTCATTTTGTTCCTCATAGACACACACAGCACCGACTCCTAAAGGAGAAACTCATGCTGACTGACAAATCTCCGCCAGAGCTCCTGTATCTTTCCTATTCTTTTGTTCTTGAAAGATGGCTGGATATATGCCCGTATCTATGTTCTTTATTAGGTCATCTTCTTAGCTAAAAAATAATGCAATAAAAATAAGAATAATACCTTTATTCCAATCACAGTAGCAAGGAAGTAGAATCAGTCATTTTCATCAACAGATGACTGGATAATGAAAATGCGGTGCGTACACAGAGATTTTATTGCGTCACAAAGAAAATTGAAGTTATGTTATTTCCAGTAAAGTGGATGGAACTGGAGAGTATTATAGTAAGTTAGGTAACCCAGGCTCAAAAAGTCAAATACTGTACATATGTACATCCCTAACCATATGTTCTTTCTCACATGTTGATCCTATCTGTGGAGTTTTATACATGTGTACTTATATAGGAATAAGTGTACTTAGAACCTGAACACAAGCCCTTCCACTCCCAGTCCCCAATCTTGCAGGTTAAAAGCAGTGTTTCACACTTACAAGTTGAACGCTCTTAAATGGGTTCCATCCTCCATCCCCAGATCCTCTTAAATATCAGTATTATATGCAGAGTTCCACATTTGCCCACATTCTCTTTCTGTATATGCTCAACATAGGTAGGGTGGTGTGTAACTCTTAATATCCTCGTGGGAAGTATTTCATATGAAAAGAGGGGGTATTAATAACTGCTACATAGGAACAACATTTGTAAACCAAGACTACCTCAACCAAACTAGGAAGAGGCTGCATCCATTGTTATAGTTTGACATAATAAAAACCTGTTAATATTTGTAAAACTCTATACCTCCTTGTTACTAACAATGACCTCAATGTTTCATGTCTTCTAGTTATGATTTCTCACAGGAATCTGAAACTCAGTATGGCTATAGCTTAAATCACACTTAAATTCCTAGTGGCTTTATTTTCTATTCAATTATCTAGAAAATGAATCTAGCAAACAGGAGACTGCTCTTGATTTCCTACTCCTGTTACTTTTTAGCTCTGAGTATTTCTCCACTTCACTGTTTGCTTCTTGAATACTGTCATAACTTTTATCTGACTTCCTAGCTCTGGTCTTGTCTCACTCAATTTTTTCCCCCCAGGGCAGCGACACTGGGTTTTGCATGTGTCAATAGTACCATGACTTACTGATCAGAGATGACCATCATGGCCCCTTCAGTTCACTTTTCAGTTTTCCTCATGAGCATTGTAATCTAGTATGCCATGTAATTTGAAGAGAAACACCCATCCTCAGCAAGGTGCTTCTTACTCAAAGACCTTTACTTACGCTGTTTCTTTCTGCCTGGAATGCCTCTCTTTCATACTGTCCCTCAAGTTCTGCACCTGGTAAGCTTCTTTACAACAAGGGCATTTTAAACCCTGAATGTTTCCTCACTACCTTCTGGAGGTACCATTTGCCGTTGTAGACTTAATACTGACATGAACAAACAATGCCATTACTTTGGTACTTTCCCACATGTGCCCATGTTTTACAGAATCATCAATAAAGAATGAAAATGTGTAAGGGTTTCAGCTATCAAATATTTGCCATGTTTATGAAAATAAGAACAGATCTTAGCATAAGAGGCATGATTATATCAATACATGTGGGTGATGTGACAAAATTATGAAAAATAAATTTTTAATTGTTAAAAATTTCAGAAAATCAGAATGCATTTCAACAGTTATCTGAATGGAAAGTTTTGTGAAAATATTATCCAAAAGAATCTTCCTTCCTTCCTTTCTTCCCTCCCTCCCTCCCTCCTTTCCTTCCTTCCTTCCTTTCCTTCCTTCCTTCCTTTTCTTGTACATGTAGAATACATACAACTTTAAAGGGAGGTAACTATTTGATGTCCAAAAATCCATTATCTATCATATCTACTCAAACATTCTGGTTACTGTCCAGATGTCTCATCTGATGCTTTGATATTTCATATTCTTTTATCATTAGTTCTGCTCCACTAGGAGGAACTTTTTTACTTTGTCTCTCAAGAAGCCCAAGCTATTTGACCTTCCAGGCATAAAAAAACCTCCACAGTTAATAGAGAAAATGTGGTTACTTATTACAAGTAATGTTGAGGAAATGAAAACAGTATAATAAAAATTTAAAAAGAATATTAGTATGGCAGAACCAGAGCATCTGGCATGGCTGGCATTCTTAGAACGAAGACACCCATCTAGGAATGCAACAGTCACTCTTTAGACCACTCCTACTCCTACACTTAACAATAGTTTTCTATTTCCTAATTCAATCCCAGTATTTAGTTCAATCTTTCCTAATTATATTTTGTAACAATTATATATTACAAATCTTGCTTTGAGAGCTGAGGATACTTCTCTGAGAAGAAAAATTATTCACGGTATTATGAAATCTAAAACATACTCTGGATGCTTCCTGCAAGCTGAGGTCCTGGCTTTCTGATTATGGTAAAACATCCTAAGGTGGTTCTGAGGAGGCAGCAACACATCGAATACTGAGTACTATATCAAGGAATAAAATTTGTTAAAATGTAACTAGGCAGAAGTCAAATATTTCAGATTTATTTTTTCATTGGCAATACATTGCTATTATAAAAGCAGTTCCAATCTCCCAATAAATATACTTGAATACTTGCTACACGTCAGAAGGTGGAGCTCTAAACATATCTGAAATGCTGGTTCCAATGTAGTTCACAAATGTGTATACTGAGGGGACTGAAGAAGCATGAATTGTTTGGAAAAATCCTAAAGATATCCTAGCTCTGTGAGGATGACATCACCCACATCTCCTAATACAAGGTTCACTAGCAAAAAGGCATACAGTGATTTCCTATAACATGTCAAAATATTTCCTGTTACTAAAACCTTAGATGTGTGCAAATCCAAAAATAAAATATACAGTACATTTAAAAGCAAAACAATTTTTGAAAAGCCATGGCTACCCAGTCGAACAAGGTCACAGGTACTTACAAGCATCTCGGATATAGAGTAACATGGCTATGAAGATGTAGTCCACTAAGCTCAGGCTAAGGCCATCTGCAAACAAGGCATCCCAGACCACCAGCAGATCCTGCAGCGGGAACTCCCTTCCAAACAGGAGCCGCACCCATCTCCTGCACAGACACCAAAGAATTAGGAAATGAGCTTCCCATGGGCTTCTCTTCCCATAATAGTTAAGATGAAAAAAGCTGCAATTTATTAACTGAACACAGTCAGAAAATACTATATATTGAAAATAGAGTAAAATTTAAAATTTCAGAAAGCATTAAATAGCAAAATAAAATATGGAAAATATAAGTTTTAATTTTTTTCAAGTTCTACACTAGACCACAGTGTTACACATTATTCTTCCATGTGTAAAATACAAGAATGACACCTGGAAAGGAGAGAAATTTTTCTTATGAAATAGATACCACAAATCTTTAGTAAGAAAAGACAGGACACTAGTCAGTACAGCAGTTGGGATATATTTAAGGTTATTCATTGAAAATACCATTTCACAACATTTTACTTTCTCTACTGATTTTTTGCTAACTTATTAGCTTTTCACAAATGTTTTCTCTAACAAATCACCACAGTCAAACTTAGAAATTTATATTCTCACAATTATTTAAAGTACTCATTTAAAACTTAATGCTAAAGAAAAAAATCATTATTCTTGCATATTTTTAGAAAGGACGTGTACACACAGTCACTGAAAATGAAAAAATTAATAATTCTTTTTTTGGCTAGAAATAGGTATCACTAATCAGTGGCACTGTTTTTCTGGCAATGTTTTTCATGTTGCTTTCCTGCCCAGGTGAGTGAATACAGCACAGAAGGCAATAAGAGCCACGGGCACTAACTGATGCTTGTATTGACTGTATAACATAAACAGTGAGGCTTAATACTCTAAACTTCCAGGACGCCTAACTGGGCAATTTAAATCTAATGTTCACAAGAGAATTAGAATTTTGTTTGATACATTTTAATTCATTGATTTCAAATTATGCAATAGGGGTGTAATTCTTTACACATTCTTTTCCCAAGAACTCTATGTAATTCTGGTATACTGCAGAGAATCCAAAAACTTTAATTTCCTGTACTAGCAAATAATATAAAAAAAAAATTCTTTAGAAAGTAATCACCCACACAATTAACAAAGTTCTTACTTTTCTTGGCAAAATGTGAGATAAATTCCAACCATCTGGAGGTTAAAAGTGAAGTTAAGCATAACCCTCCAAGCAGACGCAAACACTTGGCTCCAGGAGTATTGTATTAAGGCAGAACCACAGCTGTGTCAAAACAGCCTGTAACCAAGTGTGTACATCACCAGAATTGTTAGAAACCATGTGATCAAACATACTCATATTTTCAAATTAATCAAGAGTGTTTTTTTTCTGGACTGTATTTTATACTACAGCCATTACTCATTTTTTCCACTTAAAAATAAATGCATAGGTAAATATTTTAAATGTTATGATAATTTCTACAAAGTTTAATCTAGCTTTCAAATCATAGTGTACTGCTAAAATAGAGGGGTTAACACAAAATGTATGTACTTTTCACCTTTGCAGCTTAAGAAAAAATTGCTATGCACTTACAAATCACTGAGTCTAATACGTACTAAATTAATGGCCAGTCTTCTAAATTATGAAGAATTAACTGGTTTTGGAGAACTAGAGATGAACAAAGCAAACGTGCAGAGAAATTTAAATGGATACATAAATACCTACACTTGCATGAGTGAGACATCTAGAATGTGGTTATTTGCAGGTATTTAACTGATATAACTGGGAAAAAATTCCATCAATTGAATAAAACGAATGAATGGGGAAGAAATACCGAAGTTTCTTTCTTAGCATTCCTTAGCTCAAATGGTGTGTAAATTTCATGACAGTATTTCTAACAAAAGAGAAGGGGCTCTTGTTTGTTTGCTTGCTTGCTTGCCTTTAAAGAGACAATTTATCTCTATGACAAAATGCCAGTTACTGCTCGAACTTGTCTTGCAACATTCCTGTTGGTGAGGGTTATATTAGCTTGGCTTCAAAATGAGTTCACAGGCACTTGCATGAGCTGTGTCTGCTGTGGCACTGCGGAAGGAGCGAGCTTCATCCTCACCCTTCACAGTGAAAAGGACTGTGCTCATTCTCCAAGTGTCCACACCTGTGATGCCTTCAGGGTTTGTAGAACACCCATCTTCAGCACTAGATGTTCAATGCGAGGTCTGGGATGGGATTTCACAGACTTTCATATTGCTCCACTCGAGTTTCATCTTGCCAAAGTCTCTGTTCCTTAATCCCAGAGTGAGGACCAAATACACACACAGGGTAGGAGAGGCTTGGATAGAGGCGAGGAGTCGGAGAGGGAGGGGTGAGACTCAGTGCTCTCCGCGATGTGTACCAGGGTCTTGTTAAGGCACTGTAAGGCCACCACCATTCTCCTGAAGAGCAGAGGTCTAGCTTAACCAGAAACACAAGAATTGATCTCAGTAACAGTCGCACAAAAGCAGTTCAGGAAGTGGAGGAAAATGTAGAAATATGTAAGGAAAGATGCATGGTGGGTGTGTGCATGCCATAACGCCCGTGGTGAAATCAGAGCGTGGCTTTCAGGGCTCCGGTCCCCTTTCCCTGAGGACTGGGGCATAGAAACCATTTCCTCGGGGTTGCACTACAAGCACTTTTGTCTGTTGTACCATTTTCTTGGCTCAGAGATGTTAATTTATACGAGACCTAATAATTTATATGTGTAATAACACTGAAGTATAATCCCTATTTTCTGTTTTATAATATGGGAAAATTGATGACAAATTCCTAATTTTTAAAGGATATGATTACAGCAATGGTAAGAAATTAACAAAGAATTTATCAGCGACCACCTTACTCCAAGTTGATTTCATTCACATACATGCTCAGAACAAGAAACTTCATGTACTATTTTGGTGTCTTTTTTTTTTTTTCTTCACTGATTTAAAAGCAAAGGAAAAACTCAGTGCTTTATGGAATGAGTTAGTAATAGACATTGTTTCAGTATGCTTTTATATTCTTAGAAAGGAAGATCTACTTTAAAAAAACAAGGCTTCATAAAGAAGTTATGTCTACAATTAAAATGCTTTTATTGCAGTTAAAAATATTTAGTGAGTGCTAAGTTACACTTAAGGGTAGCATTAAACCTTTCTTCCCCTTAAAGACACTTCAGTTTAATTGCTTGATGCCATTAACTTTGCTTTTCAGATGCTGTACCTGAAAACAGCGATGCTCACACACTTCATGGCTTGTGATGACACAGGGTTCGTACTTTACCAGACCTGTGTAGTAATTACAGCTACACAAAGAGAACGACTATCCAAAGTACCAAAGTTAGTAATAAAGTACTCAGATACAGGACAGTCTCTGGTGTCTCTCAACCGTCAGTTCTGTGTAATGAAACTGCTTCTCCCTGGGGACCACTAACTACTGACACTGTTATTGCTTAGTGAACGTTGCACAGAAACACCAGGAGGAAACTGATTCACGAGAATGACCAGCTTGTAGTTTAACTAACTCTCTCTCTCTCTTGTATCTTCCTTTCTATTTTCTTTTCATGATCACTTTGTATGGGACATGACTATCACAAACACAAGAACAAAGTGGGAAAATGTATTCAATTTCATTTAACAAACATCAGAAAAGAACCTAGTTAGGCAATGGTAGCTCACTCCTTTAATCTCAGACTCAGGAAGCAGAGGCAGGCAGGTGTCTGAGGTTAAAAACCTACCTGATGGGGTTTAGGTTCTTTCCTGTAGTTTTTGTTTTGAAATGAATTCATTGTATTTACATCAATACTGTGAGAGTAATCTCAAAAGTTGTAGTTACTACAGGTAGGGTCACAAGACACTATCAGCTTTAATTCTTACATTTTTAAAATTAAAATTACAAGGAATGTATGGCAAAACAACTTCCAATTTCATAGTTACTATTTTTCTAAAATTTCTGTAGAAAACACTATTGGAAGATAGTTAATTTACTTGGTAAGGCATTTAAAAAATACAGTCATTCATAGATAGATTGATACACAGACTATCAGACAGAGAGCATAAACAGAGTTATGCTACATGGGGTGAAAATGCCCCCTCACACATCTACTAACAGTAATGTTCAGGCATGAAGAATCTTCCTTTGAGTTGCTGGTCACAGAAGTCCAAGCGAGCCTCCAAATAACACCTGCATTGTCCTTAGTTACCTCCCAAAGTTTGAAGGTAAAATCCTATTGCTGCAGACAGCACACGATTTCTACACAGGACTTGGAAGAACTGAGGTGGACCTGATCTGGAAGCTTCTTTCTAATAACTATGTCTCATAGTATGAGAAGGTGCTATGCAAGCTGCCCAGGAAAAAACACAATCAGTAGTCACACCCAAGGCAAAGTCTATGAACGGTGACAATAGCCTGAAAACAGGCGGCCCTGGGGTACAATAATGGCAGTGTTAGCTTGGGGATAATACACAGCTGCCTAATTAGACCTAAGGCCTTCTCAATAGGAGAGAATTCATGCCTGTTACTATACACCTAGTCAGCCACCCACAGACAGGTCCCAGAGGAGAACCTGGTTCTGTCACTTTCCTAAGTCTGATGACTATTACTTGTATTCTAAATACTTATCTCTACCCACAGCTAAGTATGATTTTCACTTCTCCCCAAAGCAGCATGTGTATGCAACAGATACAGTAGGGGCTTTTTACAGAGATGCACACTGGTCATAAACACAGAATAATCATAGGACACACAATTAACGTGTTACATCTATAATGCAACCCCTACACCAAGCTCAGAGAACACAATAGAAGAGGGGGATGCTTAATGGAAATATCAGCTGACATGTCAACGTGAATAAGAAAAATTTTGTACGTCCTTACTCTTAGATGAACGGCTATTGGCAATAAATGGCTGCTGAGAGAGATACAGTCAGTTGAGAGGGAGTACAGAGGGCACAAGAGAGTTGGAAGGTGAAGGAAAAGAGGCAGATGTTGGGAAATAATATTTTAAGGTGTGTAACTTTTATTTATGATGCATTTGTTCAACTCTGTGAAGCTGGATTCTCTGCCTGTCTAAAACACCTGATGGTCCTAATAAAGAGCTGAATGGCCAATAGTGAG